TAACCTTTTCCTGAAAAAAAGTCAAAAGGAAATCTAAAAAGGAATGGATAAAAGAACCCCCTTCAGAACGGCTTGTTCATAACCCACCATCATCCCTTAAAAAAATGGTACACAGTACAAAGAAGGTAATCTAATGTCCATACAGTAGCAAATGTCAGTTTAACACGTAGACTTTCGCGAGCAATATTATCCATAATAGAGGAACGACACCTCTATTATGGAGTACCAAATGTGCAATTTCAATGGCATGAAGCTTACGGTTTCTCTCTTTTAAATAGTGGCTATATTTTTTTATCTGGATGCATAGACCGTAATTATATATCTGTTGTGCTTTCTTCAAACTGCCACATGGTGCAAGTTGCCAATATCCAACAACTTGTAAACAAATAAACAATCTGTAATTTCACCTAACATGATACAATGTGACTGTTTAATGACGGTATGTTATGTTCCACAGGTTTTCACAGTTGTGCTATGTGGCTCCCTGGTGTGTTTATTGGTTGTACCACGGGTTGTTACGGTTGTACCACGTGTTGTTACGGTTGTACCACGTGTTGTTCGGCATGATATGACATTTCACTCCATGTGCCAGGAGGTTCTATATTCCAAATCCTGAAAATTCTCCCAGAACATGAAGCGAAACGTCGGACATCACGGCCGAACGACACGTGGTGCAAACCAAGCTAGTACTTTTGGTTTAACTTCAGAAAATAACCTAAAACTTCTGTAAAGGCCACAGCTACGAATAATAAAGAATGAGCAAGACACATCAAATACAGTCGCATACCATTACGTAGTAGCCACACAACTCCACCCAGTTCTAATTTAAACTGAAAAGTGTGTAACATGCACTTTAAATACATGAGTCACATGCAACACATACCGATGCAGTGTTACATTCCTTTTCACGATGCGGGGAGGTAGATATGCTATGCTTGTATAAAGACAATACAGTGCGAAGTGCAGGGGAATGATGCCAGCAAAACAGGATACTCAGGTAAATTCTTTTGTTGGCAGAATTATTGCAGGCCAAGTAATACAATAGGAGCCCTTGTGTTGGAGAGAATGACACAGCTCCTGCGACCCTTTCAACACGCTTTTGATAAAGCCTCAAGTTTTCTCCAATGGGTTCAAATCCACTACTTTCTGTAAATTATGAGAAAATCCACCACAGCAGGAAAATAAATGCAGGGCGGAAACAAATAGAAATACCAACATTAGAATGCGTGCTCACAAACAGCAGGAAGGCATGACTCCCATAAAACACTGCATGCACGTCATGTGACCTCCACATTGAATTCGACAAGGCTCAGAACATTGTACGGTACATGAAATGTGGTGGTCACATGACATGCATGTGAGGAGCACATCTCATTTCTTGAGAACTGCATTGTGTTTAGTTCGTTGTTCTTCCCCCGCACCTCCAATGAGAATAGTTGGCTACGTATGGTGCAAAAGATGTTCAACATACGTACCTACATTTTTGTGTGTTGTTAAAGCCAATACGACCAAAGCAGAAACGGAGGCGTAACCAAATAAACAATCTGTACATCACGTGTCGCCTATTTTACCATGATTCGTTCCACATCATCGTTATCAACATCATCAGGAACTTTTCTTAAAGCTTATGAACTCAATGTCTCTCACCAACACAATGTCTCTCACCCAATGTCCCCTGCTAATCTCATTTGAAGATGCAATTCCTGTATCGATGTGAAACAGAAATACGGAAATATCTCAAAACGTATTCTAAGCATAATCAGTTTCCAAAAATTTGTACCGTATCACCTTGCCCATTTTCACAGAACTATTCATATTCTAAACTCTGGAGGCTTGCATCTTTAAAAAAATTCAAGTACATCTGAGCTATGCTAACACGACAACTTTGTCTCCGAATGATTACCTTTGTCAGCCGATGCCTATCCCAGAACTCACGCCAGTAGCGACACGTGGTAAAAGAATTTCACTTTATGTTTATGAATCATATGAGTAAAGTCACTTCTCAAAGTTACATCTCGTTTTAACCCAATAAATGGCATCTGCACCATACAGAGGATGAATGCCGGTGAAGAGAAGTTGCAAAAAATCCACCATATGGGTTATTGTAAAATAGCGGATGCTTTTCTTGTGTAAGGTTTTTGAAAGACTCAACATGAAAACTATAAAACGCTCATGAAACCCAACAAATCAATCATCGAATGAAACGACCCACAAGTTGCCTCCCGTAACCAAGCCAACAGGGAGCGGCCAACACGAGGGTCAACGGTTATATTCGCTTAAATTGGATAAAGGAAAATCTCCAACGAAATTTCCATCAAACGCACAAGTTACTTATCGAAATGACAGGGCACATCGAAAGTTCAGAACAATTTAAGTGGCAGCAAACGGAGGGAATGTGCCGTGACCCCCAAGTAGATGGAGCTATGAAATCCGCTCATGCGCGGATGTCATCTGTGAAAAAGAGCTTCATAGCTCATCGCATTCCTCCAGCCTAAAACAACGATCCTGATTCAGGTGGATTATTATTCAGGTGGATCATTACAAGATCAAGAGAAATGGCAACGTCTTGGTGAGGCCTTCGTCTAGCAGGTCGATCTTGACTTTAAACACACAAAACCTACTGGAGCTGTAAAGTACGAACGTTTGTTTTGGAAATCGTGATTGTGACATTTGCAGTGAAGCATCAATAACTGCGGTACTTACAGATTTATATATAAAATCAGAACTCTCGGCAAAAAAAACCTTTCAACATCATCTAATTGCGTCTGGAACAATTTGAAGGCGAAAGGCTTGCTGAGAAACTTGTGGAGGCCAAGTCTCAAACTCTCGTCCGGAAATATCATCGATGCCCCGAAAAATCGCATCGTCCGACTTGATCTTGTAGTTTTCGTAAAGTAAACAACCAACTGCCAAGGTCTGCTCTTGTAGAAGCCAAGATCTGTTTTTTGGTCACTTCCAAACATCACCATCATCATCCATGATCTATCCACCGCCAGATGATAGTATCTAAAAGCCATCGCCTTTTCTCACGATTTCACGATAAAACAATCCATATAACTCCTGCACACGAGATAATATCACCGCTTCATCTTTGTGGCAACGTTCCCTCTGACGTTGTTCCCTTCGTTGACTGCCATTCCGTCGATAGTCTCATCCACCCGGTTCATCATCCCATCTATCTACGCATCCTCCCAAAGCACACCTGCTTCCAAAACAATCCCTCCACAACGTGACGTTAATTACAAGCTACCCAAGAGGCATATTGTGCAACCTATTCATTAGAGTTTCTTAATAGCAGGGTTCAGCAACTACCACGTGTGTCCATTCAACAGCTTACTTTATAATTGGCATGATGCGGTTACAGCTGGGGATACAGCCTCAACAGCCCATTTCTCTTCCGGGCGGATGTCACAGTACACCAGTGTATAAACGCATGGGTGCTTAAGCGTTAAGGTGTGGGAAGTTGAATGGCTCGTCCAGCTCAGGCCTAGCATAACACATTAAAGCCCTTTGCCAATGCACTGCTGGATGACGGCCTCCACATGCCGTGTGGTGGGTTGGATGTTGGTCGCCCTCAGCGTACGGTACAGCCATGGATTTTGCTGTACTGCCCTCTGTGCAGACTCACAGTAGCCTAAACAACAACCTGGCATGCATAGTGGCCACCCATCAAAGCACTACGCAGGGGTCAACCCTGACTTAGCTTCCTAGATCAGGAAAACACAACGCAACAACATTTCACTACACAGATGTTAACCTCAATCTACACTAATAATCAATATTATCATCTGTGATCTTATCCACTGCTGGATGAAGGTCAGGCCTCCAAACCTACACTACCTCGGTGCAACCATTCCATGAGCCAGCCTGCGCGCACACCCAATGGAGGTGTCTTGTCCAACTCACGCAGGTGTGTGGGCTGGACAGACAGCTGCAGGTGATGCTGCTGTTGCTGTTGCTGAACTTGCTGCTGCTGTTGCTGCGACTGGAGGCCGGGCCTCTCGAAGTTGCCGGGGTTGGAGAAGAAGTCCCGCAGCCGGGGCAGCTCCTGGTCGCGTTCCAGCAGCTCGCTATGCAGCTCAAGCGCCGTGAGCAGCAGCTGATCCCGCAGCAGCTGAGCCGCCACGACGTCCAGCGCCAGCGGCCGCGACGCGTGGCCTTGCCCCTGGCCGTGCCCCTGCCCGCGCTCCCTCTCATTCCCTTGATCATGCCCACGCTCCAACCCCGTGCCCTTCCCATGCCCCTGTTCCATGCCCGACTCCTGCCCATAACCAGATTCCCACTCATTCCCCTGGCCCTGTTGCCTCTCACTCCCCTGAACATTGCCCTGCCCTTGCCCAAACCCCAACTGCTCCTCCATTGACTCCATCTCCTCGCCACGCTGGGATGCCCGCGTCTCAGCAGCAGTCGCTGAGGAAGACGACATGGACGGGGTCCGGGAAGACGGGGTAAGGTCCTGGCCCCTGTCCTCGTCTCGGCTCGAGTCCGGGTCGCGCCTCGCGTCCAAGTTCGAGTCCCGACGCGGGACCTGCTGCTGCTGGTCCTCCTCCTCCTCGGAGTCGCTCACGAAGGGGTTAACAGGCGTGGACATCGCGACCCATGGGCATCGGGGCTGTGATTCCAGCTGTAACGTGTCGTTACGATTCACTCAATGACGCCCGTGTCGTTATAAATGATGAGTTGTGATTGTTGTGGGTGCTGGAGCCGCCCCACGCCGCCACCGACGCCGAACGAACGCGGATCGGTGGGGCCTGAATCACGCTTTGAATTTCCACAGCGCGTAGGCGCGTATTGACCCAATGCGGGCACGCGATTGGCTAGTTCTCCGACACCGATGTTAATGCGCGAGGTTGATTGGTTAATCTTGGGCTGGTAGGCGAGACCCCAGCGCTCGCTACCAACGCTCTCGTCCAATGGGAGACCGCGTTGTGCTTATCCGCTCTATGGAATGTAATCTCGTGGATTCACTGTCGGCGGGCAACCACCCCAGGTGGCGATTTCCTGGTTCCTGAAATGTATTTTTTTTAAATAAATATTAAAAAGCACATTCGTGACTTTACGTTTAGGATTAAATGCCGTAATTAACACGTCTTTAAAAAAAATTCACGTTATAAATTGTAAAGTAAAAAAAACTGTTGCCTCGGAGCGGTTGGGAGTCCCAGTCTTCCGGGTTGGGACACGCGTAGAAGGTCCCGGCATGTCTCCCACGTCTCCTGTGGGTGTGTTCCCTGTGTCTCTCGCCGTGTTCCCTCTGTCTCCACGCCATGCTCTCCGTGTCCAGTGTCTCCTGTGGGTGTGTTCCATGTGTCTCTCGCCGTGTTCCCTCTGTCTCCACGCCATGCTCTCCGTGTCCAGTGTCTCCTGCCACCCTGTGTCTATGTCTGCGTGTCTGTCCCCGTGTACCTGTGTTTTTGTGTTGTGTCAACGTGGCCCCTTTATCTGTCCCTCTGTATCTCGATGCCCCGTGTATTTGTGTTCCGTCACCTGACCCACTCTACCTTTCTATCTCATGTCCTGTATTTCAGCGTCACTGTCATCGGTATCTCTGTGTCCCGTGTCTCTTGTATCCCTGTATCTCCACATTTTCAGTCACCTAAACCCATGTTTGCTGATCCCCGTAGCAGCAGATCGCAGACACTCCCCGTGTCTACATTCCCCACATGGTCCGTGATTCCAGGTGTTGATGTCTCTGTATTCTTAGATCCTCAGAAAGTCACGGGCTCCACTCCCAGAGATGCTGCTGCCCAGATCCAGCGGTGGTCTGCGGGCATCCGTGCAGGATGACAGGTGCCGTAGGACATTGCTGGACACAACGCAGTGATAATCACATTCAGTTGCATTTGACTTCTGGGATCCGTTCATTCATTCGTTTCACAGATGTACACACGTCACTGACACGGATATCCCAGATATGCCGTTTTGCTCCGATGGGCCCTCCTATGCAGACTGTAGTTCCAGTGCTCACCTCTACACACACACGTGGATGTTACCATTAGATACTGACCAGGCAGCAAGGCGATGAAAGGCGGGCTAAGTCCTTGACGGAGATGCGCTGTGGAGGAAGATATGGGATGGATATTCATGCCACCCTTTCACTTAGATTTTTTGGAAGTTAAGAACTTGCAATGTTCCACTGTATGGGCAGGGTGTCGTGGCCAAGCGGTGGATGTCGTCCCTTGTCTTTCAGAGGTTCCTGGTTCTAATCCAGCGGCCTCCATTCAACATACATTACTTCGGGTTTATTAACCGTTAAAACACGCGCCATCCGTTTCACGGTGGAATTTAAAAGTATCTTGTGACGACATTTCAAAGAGTAGGCCATCGTGTGCCGACCTCGTGATCCGCCAGATTTGCTGAATTTGAAAAAAATGACCCGCCAATTACTCTATTCGAATCTACCTCCTGTTAAGATTGGGCAGGACCCTCCTGAAAAAATATAGCCATGAGACTTAGTGAAGCTTTACTGGGTAAAACAAGGAGCGTGATAATCATTATAATGATATAATAATAACAGGCTGTTTTGATTGCTGGCAATGCATCAAAATCCATTCTTGCGCTGCACTATAGTTCCATGTCTGTACTCCCTTTCATGGCCAATGCCCCCCTTTTACCAACCTGTACTGACAAAAACCCATTTCTGTGGAGGGAGCTGGTAGGAACGTTGGGTTGCTCGGTCAATGGCCAGGGTCAACTGCGGCACCACGTGGTGTATTCCGCAAATATGCCCGACTGTGAGGGCGGGCACAAGCCGGCGTGAGTAGGTTAAACGTTGAGTTTTATAAGGGCACCACGGGGTGACCAGCCCCTCCCCCACCCAGCCCCACCCCTCCCACCCTCCCCACCCTCCCCACCCTCCCCACCCAGCCCCTCCCCACCCTCCTCTCCCCACCCAGCCCCTCTCCACCCTCCCCTCTCCACCCAGCCCCACCCCTCCCATTTTTGGATGCACGACGGACAGACACAATAATCCCCTGTGGGCTGGTGTAACCAGGAGGTTCCTACCAGTATAAAGCCCACAACCTGTATGTATGGTGTGGGGAGGCCCTCATTCAGTAGTGGATTGACTAAGGGCTGTCCACGTACACAATGTTCCATTGATTGTCGCATTGTGGCATAACAATGTTCACATTAAAGTCACAATAAAATACATGCAATTGCCTGCCAAATAGTCCCCCTGTAGAACCTGACATTAAACTTACATTTTACTCTTGTAAAGCCAACACCCGACCTGCTCTTACCATCTAGCCTCGGTCCCCAACCTAACAGTTAGGAAGACAATATTTGCTAACCCACGCTGTACAACCAGCATGGTACCTGAGAGGACTGCTCAGAGCTTGTACTGTATATCCAAGCAACATCTGAGCCAACATGGTGTGGCATTTGATGGCTGGCAGGGAAACACTGAGAACATACCACTTACAAATAAATACAACAACCTGAAACTTCACCCCTCGCCGTGTCGCAGTGTCACCGACGTGCGCTACCGTCGCTTCATCCTGGTGGCGCTTGTCATCCACCTGGTGTTTTTCGCCTCCATCTTCGAGATCTACTTCAGCTCCCCGCTGGTCCACGGCGCCAGCCCCCATGCCGCGCCAGGCCCCGCGCCCGCCCGGCGCCTGGTGTTGTTAGTGGCGGACGGGCTGCGGGCAGACTCGATCTACCGTCCCGTGAGCGTCGGACAAAGCCGTGCACCCTACCTGCGGTGAGGACATGGAGAGTGGAGGACACGGAGGCGCAGCTCATTGTTTATTTTTGTCCTTGATGTTCCGTGGTACGTTTTATGGGAATTTGATTTGTTATTTGGTCACTGATAAAGGATGCACTTTTGACTCGCAGTATTTGTGAATCCCTTGCTGGATGAAGGCCTCACTATGCTATGCCACTGATGGGGGTTGTTTCACCATGCTGATTAGTGCGGGTTGTTGAAGGGGGGGGGGCTAGGATCGATTTATATATCCCTTGTCGCTAATGTTAGTCGTGGCCAGTAATTGAACTCGGGTCAACAGCTTCATAGTGCAATGAATGAACCATTGCACGACCACCACTCCATACCCTCACATAGTACAGCTAAAATGTATCACACTGGAAATATTTTTCGTTTATTTTAGATTGCTGAATTGTTAATCGCTGTCGGACATTGTTTATGTTGTTTCATATTGTTCACATGTGTACAGTACTGGTTTGTGACAGATTCCCCTTGAAAATGAGACTTTTAGTCTTAGTGGGCTGTCACTTGGTTTAAATATCGACCTGGTGGTTTCATAGGAACCATTCATAAACCGAAACAGTGATCATCTCTCATTCCTGGCTCTTCCTGCCATCCACCTTACCTCCACTATCCTGCCTTCATCACTTACATTATAAGAACGAACACATTATAAGGTCGCACTCATTACACACAAAGTGCTTGCTACAAGTGAACCACAATACCTTGCTGATCTCGTCAAGGAGGATAAACCATCACACAAACTCCGATCATCCTCGCAGTGGCTTTTGGGTAACCATCGAACAAAGATGGTCACTGCATCACGTGCTTTCAGATGCGCTTCTGTGGCCGTCTGGAATGTTCTTCCTTCCGATATTAGGAAGCCACTGGAGCGATGCACTTTTAAATCTAAATGGAAAACTAATTTCTTTAGAACTGCTTTTTGTGTTTAGTTTGTTGTCCTTACCCTGCACTTCCAATTATCGTGGTTGGCTATCGTGGGAATGATATTGTGATGTAATCCAGAGGACACTGGTTCGGTTCATTCTACTGGCAGGTCGGAAACAATGTGTAAGCTTCTTAAATCCACATCGCCTCTGTCCACCCAGCAGTACAAATGGGTAGACCACCATTGTTATGCAAGTTACACGTGGTGGTTGTGGTGTAAAATGTGGATACTATCACCTCTTAAAAGATGTCTGGTTATTGAGGGAGACGAGACCAAATTCCCTCTCGAGTAATTCTAGAGCCAACTTTTAGTGAAGACCACCCTCCAGTTAGTGGCATGAGCAAGGAATTGCAGGCCTGCACCTTTATCTTTTTGATAGAATGGTGACTTGTAAGAATTTGCGAGAAGCGCAGGGTACTTGTTGCATGCCTAATAACTTGCTCATAGCTCGCCAGAGATTGCAGATGTGTGGAACACGCTGCTATATGAATTCGCTTCTGTTGTGCAAACCGATATGTGATGCAGGAGAGTGATGGAGGAATTGGGCAGCTGGGGCATCTCCCACACGCGGGTGCCTACGGAGTCACGGCCGGGACACGTGGCCCTCATTGCTGGTTTCTACGAGGATGTCGGTGCTGTGGCTAAGGGTACAAACACTGCACCTTAGTCCACATCAATTGAAGACAATTCTTTAGCATTATTAGTTCCACGGGCTAAAACATTTAACACTAGTTATTGGCTGCATATTTACACTACCCTTTTAAAATAAAGTAAATCTTATCGCGCAGTGCTACATTTGGGGCCAGCAGAGGACAGTGCAACAAAATCCGCCGTTGTACTGTTTTTCTATGCTCCAACGTCTATGCTCTCCGCCCTCACCAACCACCACTGACCAGAGTGGTGCAGTTTCGTAAAATAACCCCCAGGACCCGTACAGTGTGGGGAAGCTCTCAGTATTGGATTGGCAATACGACTGTACATGTGCAAATGGGTGAGCTCATAGTAGCTTCGCTCACAACTATTTTTAAAAAATCTGATTAATATTGATGTAAAATTTTCCCACCCAGGTTGGCAAGAAAACCCAGTGGAGTTTGATTCTGTTTTTAACGAGAGCAGATTCACTTGGTCATGGGGAAGCCCTGACATCCTGCCTATGTTTGCCAAAGGTAAACAAGGCTTGCAGCACACAATCTTTAAAAAAAAAACACACGGCTATTTGACAAAACTGTACAATCCTCTGCTGGGAAGTCTTTCAACTTGTTTATGAATAATTACAGGAGCAAGTGGGGATCACGTTCACACATTTTCCTACGATGCAAAGAAGGAAGATTTCGCTTCGAAAGACGCCTCTAAATTGGACACTTGGGTTTTCGATCATGTCAAGGTAATCCCCCCCCCCCCATTCAGAAGAGCGCAAATTTAGTTTTACGGTAACCCTACGGTGCATTTGCGGTTAAATTTACCGCGTGTGAATGTGTTCACCGTTACAGAGCTTTTTAAAAGATGCATCTTCAAACGAAAAGCTGGCCGCCCAGCTGTCCCAGGATAAAATCGTTTTTTTTCTACATCTTCTGGGACTGGACACAAATGGTCACGCCCATCGTCCTGCATCGAGGTACATCAAACACTCGTTCTCAGCGTGACATCTCATTGGATGAAATGTCGCCGACACACTTCCGTTCTGTTTCATCGTCGCATAAATCCGGCATCGATGGCGCGCACACACGCGCCGTTTTTATTCACGTATTTATTTTGTATTTATTTGCAGGGAGTACTTGGATAATATCGCAAGTGTGGATCACGGGATTGGAGAGATTGTGTCTATAATCGAAGATTATTTTGGCAATGACAAAAAGACCGCTTACGTATTTACTTCGGATCACGGCATGACTGACTGGGGTGAGCTGTGCCAAATAATAACGACATCTGGATTTTCGCACAAACGTTAAATGAACTACACGCTAACAGAAGGCAACTTATACAACATAAAAATAGCACGCTCTTAAACAATTTGCCAAGTACACGATGATAGACCTGGAATTCAATAAGCAACAGAGTAGCCAAACTGCCTTCGTCATGCGTTACTGTTTAACGGCCTTAGAGGACATCACCGCATACGACCCGCAGTGGATCTCGCACCACGTTCAGTCATTTTGCACCACTGCTGACATGAGTTTGTGAGATGACGTAATGGACATCGCTGTTCATAATGAACATCACTGGCTAGTAGGTTTCTCAAACATTTAGTCATGGCAGAGATCAGTCTGTGAGCAGCCCGTGCCTTCCAATTTGAGCCTTCCGCACCAATGTAATCACATGCTTCTGTTCAATTCAAACATTTATATTCTATTGAGAAGCCCATTGCGATTCAATGGAAGTAAAATACTTTTGAGGGGTGGGGCACACGCTGATGGGTAACTCATCACTGGCACCCACTCCTCCCTAATGGCACAGAACCATCTATTGTATTTTGTAATGTGGTTTGTGTCACATTTCAAACCATTGTAAATGGTGGAGCTGATAAGCAGCATTGGGGCCAATGAGCCAAATTAGCTGTATTTTCAGGTCAATGGTAAACAAAAACATTTTACCCCGTTTCTATGTAACTACAAATAATACACTTTCAAATGATTACCCGTCCATTGGAATTGGTGGAGCGGACCAGTAGAGTTACTCTGGATAAACAAACATACATACGTGCCTAATCATTATTTGATGATGCTGCGTTGGCAGTTGTGCACAAATGCAACAAAAATCGACACATTCGTAAATAATTCTGCCTTAAAAAGTTAAAAAATATGTAAGAGGTAACGTTTTTGGCAATGGCCCTTCTTCACAGAACATAGGCCAGAGAGGTAGAGTGGATAAGAGTTGGAGACAATTTCTATACCTTACGGCCTGATAAGAATTGAAAGAATGTGTTGAGTTATTCTGTGATTCATACATACATGCATACATATTAGCTGTGTATTATGTAAATGCTCAGCCCTTCAATACGTGACACCGTGGTTACCACCGCAGGGTCCCATGGCGCCGGGCATCTGTCTGAGACTCTCACTCCGCTGATAGCCTGGGGTGCCGGGGTGAATAGACCACATCCCCCGGGTGGACAGATACACACAGACACTTACTCACAAGGTAAGCGTGATGTGTCTGCCTCTCACTCTTATGCAGGTGATTCCATGCTAGCAAAAATTGCTTGTGCACGCCTGTCAGAGCAAAAGGAATCATTGACTCATCGGACACGAGTTGTCAAGTTTGTACCAAACTTTTTTTCCCATTTTATTTCAGATTGGGGTCTTGGCCACCTTAACAGAATGGATGTGAACCAGGTAACTACATTTTCATTGAGAGCACCATTTGTTTTAATGTACTAGTTTATGAGTATTTGTGAAAGATAAAATATTATTTCATTTGTGTTGTGCAGTTTAATATTTTTTTGTATGTCTCCAAAAGGCTGATGTGGCACCTCTCATGACTTCCCTCCTTGGGATTCCCTTTCCTCTCAATTCAGTGGTGAGTCCAGCACAGACAAATTAAGACGTATTCTTGGTTCTTTGGGTAAAGTCACGTAGAAGGGAAACAATAAAATAATAAAAATATAAAACAATAAAATTCTCACAACGTTTCGACTGCAACAAAAGCAATCATCATTTGAAATTTCAAATTTTCTTGCTGTGGTTTTCACACCTGATGATTGCTTGTGCTGCAGTCGAAACGTCGTGAGAATTTTATTGTTTTATATTTTTTATAATTTTATTGTTTCCCTTCTACGTGGCTTTACCGAAAAAACCAAGAATATGAATCCGTGCAGTCACGAAAGTTTTAAATCAAAATTAAGACGTAGTTGGATTATCACTTCTTTTTTCCTTATGATAAACGCAAGCATGTGTAATGAGTGATGTCGCTCTGTAATTGTAAAACGTGACCAGTTGTGAATGTCTCACATTTATAATTTAATAAATGGTTGTTTTACAGTTTTATCCCTTGTTGTTTTGAGCAGATTAGGTTCGTTAGTAGAAGATAAAGAGGAATGGTATTTCTGAGGTTGTGAATTGGAATGCTTTTAAGTGTGTGGCTTGTGTGAAAATGTGAGTGTTGATTAAAGCACTAAAACACACCAGTAGTGCAACTGTCATTTTTACAGACACATTTAACGGAAAAGAATACCAATTTAAGCCACATTTGAGCAGTTATTTTTTACGAATTTTCTTCCAATTGTATCTATTTTAATTCGTGCTGGAGAAGAGCCAGTAGGAGTTTACTTTTCTTAACCAAACGTCAGAGAGCACTGCACTTTCCCACACTGCTACAGAGAAATGTTTGTCACACAGCAATTAAACCGATATATTTTTATTGTCAGGGCTGGAGAATTTAGCCAAATTCAGTTAACAGACACATTTAATTTGATGTATTTTTTGTGCAGCCATTGGTGGCCGGGCTGAGATCATTGACTTTTTACACTTCACAAAGCACATTCAGATGGCTTACCCAGATTCTAACGCAGAATCTCAGAGGTGCCGGCTCAGTGCTCTGACCCCTGAGCCCCCCGACCACCTGTGTGTGTGTGCTTGTGCGCGCGACCGTGCGAACGTGTTTTAATGCATGGGATGTGTTTGGCAGGGCGTTCTGCCTCTGGGCTACCTCAACAACTCGGAGCTCTTTAAGGCAGAGAACATATTTGCAAATGCTCAGGCAATATTGGAGCAGTTCCAGGTCAGTGGAAAGTTACAAAGGGTGTTTTGGTGTATTTTGGGTGGGACAGTGCATTTTTGTAAACTAGTCCATGTAATTTGGGAAAGCTGCACAAGCTTGTCCTGCTTTAAGTAATGTGTGTCTATTTAATGATTGTATGCATGTATGTCGAAATTATTTCGTATCGTACATGGCCAATCGTGCGAATGAAGTAATGACGACTCGTTTCCTTGTTTTAACTTTTGCAGCTGAAAATGAATCAGAAGAAGGAAACTCTGTCCCCTTTCTTCACACCTTACAAGTAATGTTCTCCTGAAGTGTTACATTCTTAAAAGGCTTTCTCACACTAACTCTTCACTGTTGAAGGAGAATGGAGTGTGATGCGAGGTATTTTACTGTCCATGTGTGTTGTTGAGACACTAATGTTTTGGTTTACTCCCCTTCCACCCCCTGGCTCTTGAACCCTCAGGCCTCTGTCCGACAGCACGTGGCAGGATTTGTTGGCAGTGGCCAGGACCCACATTGGGCAGCGCAGGTTTCAAGAAGCTGTACGTCCTTGCTTGACAATGTGTTCATGTTGCAGCAGTCTGTATTTGCTTTCTTTTGCAAAGTCATGTTTTGGATCGCTCTTTTCCCCTTCATCCAGGTCTCCTAAGCAAAGTTTTAACTAAAGGTATTGCAAAGGGGCCCCTCTCTTGGTCTATTTAAAATGCATAACAACAATGCCATCTACTTAACCAAGCCTTATTGAGTCTCAGGACCCTTTCAGGAGTTGCTTGGCCAATGTCACGAATGAGTATGACACGAATTGTATCGGGTTCAGTCTAAATATAACAATGACAGCAGTGTCCTTTGTTTAACACGTGGGAGGCTTTCGCGACCAAAATATCATCCACAATATAATTTTTTTGGGTTAAATATACAAACAGTGTCCTCTGTTTATCCCGTAAAACCTTCAGGGGCATTCCCCGTATTGTAATGTTTGACCGAATTAATTCAGGAGTGTTTGGCAAGATTGCGAGGCCCACGACGGCGAGGATTCGTGCCAGACTCCTTCCTCCGACTGCGGTGTGCAGGTCAGTGCTTGTCGGGGGCTGATTGACGTGGCGCTGGACGGGCTGCGGTATTACCACACCTACGACCGGGCCTTCCTGGGCACCAGCGTGGCATTCGGTTTCCTGGGCTGGATCAGCTACGTGGTTCTGCTTGTGCTGCGCAAGCACACGGGCGTGCTGACGCCCTCCAGTGCAGGCACAGCGGTGCGTACCTCTCGCACGCACAGCGTGTGCACCTCCGATTAGCACGGTTGGCTACGTACGGTGCGAAAGAAGTTGAACATACATACATAGACTACCCGTGCCAGATCCGGTTACCACCTTAATAAGTGGAAATCAAGAAAAGCCCGGAATGCGACTGCGGAAACCCTGACCAAACTGTAGAGCACACTGTGGGAACTTCACAAATTCATCGGAGGTGCAGCAGCAGCAGCAGCAGCAATTCATTCAGCCTCACTTGAAGCCATCGTGTGGTTTTCAAGCTTGAGCATAGAATCTCATGTGCTGTGCACTAAAGCCATGCACAATAATAAGAAGAAGCAGGTCCTCAACATCAGGGGTGGGGTTCTCTGGTATATGCATTTAAATAACAAATACCAAACTTTTTTTTAATGTAGAACAAATTTAGCCAATTGTTCTAAGTGCTCAACAATTCATACTGTATTTAAACAGTGTATAATATTAAGAGCTACGTTAACTTAACATTATTAAGAAACTTTACATGGTTTGGAGGGCTCCTGGAGCGGTTCTCTACTGTCATTACTCTGTAGTGCCTTACTGAAATGGGACGGGCTGGTTTGTGATATCTCCGTGTAGCATAGGGACACGCACGCGGCGTCTGCTCTCGCCGTTGGGGCGGCGGTCGTCGTGCTCCTGCTGCTGAAGTTCTCTCCGTGGACGCACTACGTCTACTGCCTGCTGCCCGTGGCCACCTGGGGCGCTGCTACCCAAAGGTAGGTGCAACCCGCCGGTGTCACCGTGTCACCAACCGCCCGCGCTCAACGCATGCGTGCAGCCCACACATTAACGGGATCTGTAAACGATGAGGAACAGAATAAATAGTGCAGGCTGGAAAACCATGTGTTTCAGACATGACAGAAAAATGTGTATAAAGCACATGGCCTTTTTTGCATATGTCGGTATGTTGAACTTATTTGGCATCACACGTAGCCAACCGCAAATCGGAGGTGCCCTCGAGTTGACGTTTAAGCAACGTGACCATCCAACACTGCTGTGTGCATTGCCCCATCGTAAACAATACAGGACAATCTCATTTGTTATCAATTTTGCGTCGTCCTGAAAAAATATATATTGTATTTCTCTAGGTCAGCGGTAGGTTAAAAGTTTTTGAACCCATAAGATTAAAGTGAAAAATTTTGAATGAATACTCATCATGTAACATTTTGTGGTTTAGGAGGAACACGATTCAAATTGAATACACAGCAGCATGAGACTTTCATAAGGACATTATGGTTAATGCATTTACCCCAGAACAGTTCAAAAGGGTGCCCACCCAGCTGGATCAGAAGCCTCATTTGGCTCAAATGATCCAAAGAAAGATCAACAGTTAACAAATGTAATATTTCTCTCTTTAAATCCGGCCGCAGCATGGAAGATTGGCGCAAGGTTATGACGACATTGCGACTTTGTGGCCTCAAATCTTTGCTTGGAGGTTTGCTCTTGTCAGTGAGTGGAATTGAAATAATGGTGAGTGATGATTAAATTACTCCCCTCGGTTTTGTAAGGCTTTTATATCATACAGCAGCAGCAGCAGCAGGTTTCTTCAGAAATTAATTTTAAATGTATTCTTGTGCCTTGAATCCTTGCAGGTTTTGAGTTTCTTTTACCGCGAGATGCTGAGTGTGGAGCTCGTAGCGTTGGCGGTGTGGCCTTTTACGACTGTCCTTTGGACTAAGGACAAGGTGAATAAAACCTTGCCCAACCAACATTTCAATACTGTATTCAAACCCAAAGGCTATGAGCAGAACAATCTATAGTAGATGTTCAATTTCTGAGACAGTGGCGGTGCTTGCTGTGATTCGCTGGCGTCTCTATCATCCTGTCTGCAGCTCGTGTCTGGGAGCTGGTCGCTTGCCTGCCTGTTGCTGGCCATCCACCCCCTGCTGCCGGTGGTGGGGAGGGATGCCAACATCTCCCTTGTGTGGGTTTGCTCGCGTCAGCAGAACTTCGTGTGCAGACGGGCAGCTGCAGCGACTTTTGACATCGACGTGTTCACAATGATATTAATCATCTTTTGAAAATGCTGTTTGTCCACCTTTCAGAGTGCTGGCTGGTGTTCTAACCATCCTGCTGTCAGCACTGTTGATGCTTGCGCTCCATCGGGTGTTGAAAACGTCTGACTTCTCATGGTGGCAGACCGCCACATGTCTGACACAAGTAGGCTTTGATGTTCAACAAACTCTGACGAAGCTGTACGTTGTGCACAGTGCCCACAGGGCTAATGTTACTGGAGAGTAATATCTGAACCAGTCCTGGGCCTCATCCATCCAGCACTGACCAGCGTGGTGAAGTATGGTCAAACAACCCTCACGCACGGCAGCGTTGGGAGGTCTTCATTCAGCAGTAGACTGGCAAAGAGATTCAAATTACGATTATTAATATTCTCTTACATGCGCAAGTCTACATTTACCACATGGGCTGAATGTCGAGGGTGCCCAGAATGTCCCCTGTAGCAGCTCCTTCACCAGTTTTCAGCAGCACTGTTAACGAGTCATTACACGAGTTTACCATCCACACCATTTCAATCAAGAATCTATTTTACATCTCGATTTGTATTAAATGTCTCGATTGTTTTACCTTGTTCTGTCTTATTCGTTCCATTTACATGGAAGCAATATTTGTATAGAACGGTCACATATAAATATAAGCGTTTTTGCAAAAAATATTTTATGAATGCATGATTAGATTTTAATCAATGAACCGATTAAATGTCACACACTTCGAGTGTGGAACTGCTCAGTGAACAGAGACAATGACATAAAAATAATATGTGCGTTTAAACACCGCTCACTGGCACTGGAACAAATGTTGATGTACGTCTTTGGATGACATGCTTCTCTCGTCTCTGTACAGATGTGCAGCGTGGCGATGTCGGTCTACATTGTGAACAGCACACATGGCAGTCTTGCCGCAAAAGAGGGCCTGCCCCTCTTCAACCAAATCACCAGCTGGGCCACGCTTGGTCAGTTTTTTCACTCGCAATGAAGACAGAGATCCCCCGTATAGTCTTAACAGACTTGGCGCAAGTGTTGTTAGCGAGCATCTGTGAAGGTCGGCGCAGCATACGAGAGGGTTTGTGGCCAGCACCACACCCAGCTGCCCTTTGACAATAATCTGAGAGTGTATATTTTTTAATTATGAACAATGCATTGCTAAAACCAATGTACTAATCATTCGAAGGTGCGATGGCACGCACTGGTTATCCTATTGCGCTGTAAACTCAGTGACCTGAGTTCAATTCCTGGCCACAGCTCACATCAGTGCCAAGTGATAACGGGAACCAGTCCTCAACACTCCCTTCACAAACCCACACTCGCCAACGTGGTGAAGTGTGTTTACACAACTTCCATGGCTGACACGTGGAGAGTCGTTCATCCTGCATGGATTGATAAAAAGCTGCGAATTTTTGTCATGAAATCATGCATTTCTACTTGAACGTAAATACGTTATTTTTGCCATGCCATCAGGGTCATCTCTTCTGGTGCCAATGCTGAGCCCCACCCTGGTGATCCACCGCCTGCTCAGCGTGTACCTGGCTTTCATGTCCCCCTACCTCCTCATGAGCACCTCGTATCCTTCGGAAGGCGCATTATTGCGCAGCACATTCAGTGGGAATTTTCTTGTAATTTTCAACACCAATTTATGTTTTCAATTACATATTTGGGCATATATATGACGCATAAATAAATAAGCAGAGAAACGTCCGTCTCCATGTTAAACATAAATATTGTACTAATTCATCAACATGAGGCTTCCAGACTTCCTTTTCAGCAGTAATTGTTTAAGGGAGCAAATTCATTTTCAGCCTTTTGGGCCTCATCAGCAGAGTTAGGCTCCTTAAACACATAATACTGGGTTGGCAGACTTTGGAGGCAACAGCCATCTAGCAAGATCGCCTAGCCTGTTCAGAAGACCCCTATGTTTATGGACTCAAACGCATTGCATATTTACGTGTATAAAATGACAATTGTCTACCTATATTCTTAGTTTTTTCGGTAAAGTCACGTTGAAGAGAAACAACAAAATAACAAAATATATATAAAACAATAAAAAATTATCACGACGTTTCGACCATAACTCAAACGGTCATCATCAGGTGTGTCGGTTTGCATAAATTTATTTAGAAAACGGCATATTTTTATTTATTTATTTATATATTAAAAAATATAACGTTTGCGTCACGCGCAACGATTGGCAGTTTGCCCAGGACTAGTCCATCTATTTTTTTAAAAGAGGAGGGGGGAGACGAAATTTGTTTTTATGTATGCTGTCTGAAAGCCACTGTAAGCGTGAACAATCAATCAAGAACTTAAATGATTTATCAAATCTTTCCAATGATTGCTAAGATAGAATCCATCTTCTCGGTTGAAATTGTCTCTGTGCTTGTATATGTGGATAGCCTCATGAACGAATCTCTCATGGAAGCCAGATGGCTTACAAAGAACCTCCGTCTTGGAAAAGTCAATGGCATGTGAGCCTACTGAATTAGAACAATGATCTGCTACGGCCGAGGTGTTGGTCCTACCGTGTTTAAGGTCTGCTTTATGTTCACGAATGCGGTCCGAGATATGGCGTTTGGTTTCTCCAATGTAACTACTACCACAGAGGCAACTTAGTTTGTAGACACCAGGGTATTGTATGTCCGGAATCACATCTTTTACAGACGGAACCAGATCACGGATTTTATGTAATGTGTTGAAACGGACCTGGATCTTGTGTTTATTCAAGATTTTGGAGATCTTTTTTGTGATCCCAGCAATGTAGGGTAAAGTGATGGTTTTGAAAGGCTCCTCAAGAGGGTTCTTCTTCATGGTTTGAGTGATAGCTTTGCGGATTGTATAGTCGGAGTAACCATTAGCCCTAAGAGCTTGGTGTACGTGCTTGAGTTCACTGCTTATGTGTTCCTGGTCGGATATGCATTGGGCTCTATGATACAGAGTCTTGATGAGAGAATTCTTCTGTGATGGATGGTGGTGGGAATCCGGTTTCAGATAAGCATCCGTATGGGTAGCTTTCCTGTAGACAGAGTGGCTCATTGAACCATCAGGTCTCTTTTTAATTAGGACATCCAAAAAAGGTATCTTGCCATCTATTTCGACTTCCATGGTAAATCTGATGGCTGGGTGTATGGAATTGATGTGGTCGAAGAATTGGTCTAGAGCAGGCCGGCCATGTGGCCAGATGACAAAAGTGTCATCCACGTACCTCTTCCATAAGGTTGGGCGCAGAGTGGCAGTCTGGATGGCGTCAGTCTCAAATTTCTCCATGAAAATGTTAGCTATAACTGGAGAAAGGGGGGAGCCCATTGGGGTGCCCTCAGTTTGTTTGTAGAAAGTTCCATTCCAAGTGAAGTATGTATTGGTTAAACAGTGTCTCACCAGGGGGGGTACCTCAGTGTTTAGTCCTTGATGAACCAAGTCTTCAATGATTGCAATGGTGTCAGGTACAGGAACCTTGGTGAATAAGGAAACTACATCAAAACTGACAAGCAGGTCGTCTGGGGACAGGGAAATACCCTTGATTGTTGATACCAGGTGAGTAGAATTTTGTACCGCAGAGGTGGTTTTTCCAGTGAAAGGACGCAGGATTTCAGACAAAAAACGAGCTAGTTTGTAGGTGGGGGAGCTGACTAAACACTGAGGTACCCCCCCTGGTGAGACACTGTTTAACCAATACATACTTCACTTGGAATGGAACTTTCTACAAACAAACTGAGGGCACCCCAATGGGCTCCCCCCTTTCTCCAGTTATAGCTAACATTTTCATGGAGAAATTTGAGACTGACGCCATCCAGACTGCCACTCTGCGCCCAACCTTATGGAAGAGGTACGTGGATGACACTTTTGTCATCTGGCCACATGGCCGGCCTGCTCTAGACCAATTCTTCGACCACATCAATTCCATACACCCAGCCATCAGATTTACCATGGAAGTCGAAATAGATGGCAAGATACCTTTTTTGGATGTCCTAATTAAAAAGAGACCTGATGGTTCAATGAGCCACTCTGTCTACAGGAAAGCTACCCATACGGATGCTTATCTGAAACCGGATTCCCACCACCATCCATCACAGAAGAATTCTCTCATCAAGACTCTGTATCATAGAGCCCAATGCATATCCGACCAGGAACACATAAGCAGTGAACTCAAGCACGTACACCAAGCTCTTAGGGCTAATGGTTACTCCGACTATACAATCCGCAAAGCTATCACTCAAACCATGAAGAAGAACCCTCTTGAGGAGCCTTTCAAAACCATCACTTTACCCTACATTGCTGGGATCACAAAAAAGATCTCCAAAATCTTGAATAAACACAAGATCCAGGTCCGTTTCAACACATTACATAAAATCCGTGATCTGGTTCCGTCTGTAAAAGATGTGATTCCGGACATACAATACCCTGGTGTCTACAAACTAAGTTGCCTCTGTGGTAGTAGTTACATTGGAGAAACCAAACGCCATATCTCGGACCGCATTCGTGAACATAAAGCAGACCTTAAACACGGTAGGACCAACACCTCGGCCGTAGCAGATCATTGTTCTAATTCAGTAGGCTCACATGCCATTGACTTTTCCAAGACGTAGGTTCTTTGTAAGCCATCTGGCTTCCATGAGAGATTCGTTCATGAGGCTATCCACATATACAAGCACAGAGACAATTTCAACCGAGAAGATGGATTCTATCTTAGCAATCATTGGAAAGATTTGATAAATCATTTCAGTTCTTGATTGATTGTTCACGCTTACAGTGGCTTTCAGACAGCATACATAAAAACAAATTTCGTCTCCCCCCTCCTCTTTTCAAAAAATAGATGGACTAGTCCTGGGAAAACTGCCAATCGTTGCGCGTGACGCAAACGTTATATTTTTTTTATATATACATAAATAAATAAATATGCCGTTTTCTAAATAAATTTATGCAAACCGACACACCTGATGATGACCGTTTGAGTTATGGTCGAAACGTCGTGAGAATTTTTTTATTGTTTTATATATATTTTGTTATTTTGTTGTTTCTCTTCAACGTGACTTTACCGAAAAAACTAAGAATATGAATTACTGCAGTCACGAAAGCTTTAAATCAAAATTGTCTACCTGTTTTATTCACCATAGTCCTCCACGACAGCTAAATTTGTAGGCAGACCACTATGAAGTCCTTTGATGGCGGTGAATTTTGAGGCATCACACGAACCCCCGCCACCACCCCCCTTCCGATGCGACAGCCCGCGAGCCTCCTTGACGGAGCCTGCAGACACGAGGCCCTGTTCACGCTCTCGCTCGAGGGCCTCATGCTGGCCTGGGTGTGCGTGGAGGCCAGGACGGCTCGGCTCCAGGGCCTGGCCCCTCGTGGCGAGGTGACGCGACGACTCCGCCACCACCACCACATGTTTCTGCGCTGTGGTTTAAGCCGTAACGTGGGGCGCCACAGTGGCGAGATGTTAATTGCCTTGCCTGGTATGCAGGAGGTCTCGTAGGTTCGATCCCGATCCTGACGCCTGTACACTTGGAGTTTGCATGTTCTCCCCGTGGTCGTGTAGACTTTTCTCCGGATTCTCCGGTTTTTCTCTCCACATTTAGAAACATGCATTCAGAGTAAATGGTTATTATAAATATACATGCGATAAGCCACTTCGTTGGGCTATAATTTGTGGCCAGGTCGCATCTGAAAAAGAGTTATATAGCTCAGTGGGCCTTACCTGGTAAAATAAAAAGTTTTTCGTTTTATAATTTGTATTTTAATACCTATAGTTCTTGACGACAGTAACGACTGTGGTGAAGTATAGTCGCGCTCATGATACGTGCATGGAATCGTGTATATGAGAATTATTTTTTACAATACGTGTAAATTATAAGCAAATTTCATGCTGTCATATTGCAGTGACGAATGCAGTGAACAAAACTGTTGAAATCAATAAACAGAAACTTAAATAACGATACAATATAATTGATTATTGAATGGAATTGCGACCCTGAGTCATCACAAGTGAATCATTGAGAGTGGTAAACTGCTCAACAACATTTCTTCAACTATGTAAATTTTCTATCATATTTGCTCACACTGGTACAATTTGTGAACAAAGGTATGCCAAACGATTGTGTTTTACGTTGCAGAAAACTACGCAGGTTTCCTTAGGTACAATACAGGCAAGGTGGCTCAACCCACATAAGGTCAAAACAATAATTATTGCGATGTTATTGCTTTTCATCAGTTATCAAAAATGGATTTCGCCTCGTCTGCCTTTGACACGTGGAGACATCTCAAGCTGGATGACATTCGAAGGGGCTACTTTTTTGTATCCTTTGAGCAAGCTTGCACACGCGTCTTATTTGATTCTTGAACACAAGATCACTTAATAATATTCACGTCGTTTTCTATACACCATTGTTTTTCTTGACTCTCATCACCAGGTGTTTTTTATTATATCGGCTTTTTTTGGAACTGGAAACATCGCCTCCATTAACAGGTAATTACTGTGCCTGGCAACTATAGTCATACACCGGTTTGCGTCGGGGATGCGTTCCCTATAAGATGCCACGACGATTATCGCAACCGATGTCAATCAAAGCCAATTTTTCCATGAGAGCTAAACAAAGACAACGTCGGGGTACGGTGAAGCTGTGTTTATGCTCGTATCTTCACCCTATACGTACCCACAGCGTTCCACGAAATTACCATTCCCGGCTATTGGTTGACATGAATCGTGAGCGACATCTGAACTAGTCCTGGAATCCCTCTACTTCACAATCCCACAATAACCAGTCTGGTGAAGTAAGGTGTAGCAACCGCTAAGACTGACATTGCATTGGGAGGGCCTTCATGCAGCAGTGGATTGACAAAAGGCGCTAAAAAGTTAAGTGTAATGCTCTATAATGCTATTTGACCTGTATAGCTCTCGCAAGTGAGAGCTATACGGGCAAACCGCAAAAGCCTATGAAGACATTTTGTTCTTTGCTCTCTCCTAGCTTTGACCCTGCATCAGTTTACTGTTTCACAACAGTGTTCAGCCCCTTCGTAATGGGGGCACTCATGATGTGGAAGGTAAGTCTCTTTCACGACAAACCTCTGCACACCAACCTTGGGCTGCTTTTTCTCCTCTTATCGACTAAAGGTCATTGTACAAAGACAGTGAATAGGCCGGTGGAGGGGGGGGGTGCAGGAAATTACCTTTTTATTTACATAACACAAACTGTAGTGGGAATATTATAATGACGCAGCATTCTCTCAGCAACCATGTGTGGTCAAAACATGATTTAGCACAGCAACTAGACATTCCCAGACTACAGGAGTAAGATTTCATTTCGACACAGTTCGCTAGTAGAGGGTGTAACAAACAACTCTTTATCAATTCATGTTAATTGTTAAGCTCGCGACAGATGCATAAAATCGTGTTTGTAAGAAGCAATGTCTTTCGGTTTATATCTTGTGTTGGGTTCACGTCACCTTTATAGCCACTAGAGGTCGCTACATTCACCATAATGTTGACAGACGAGATTGACTCACAATGTGACTGAATAATGACAATTGATTTGCCATGGGGGTAATTTGCTACAGCTCAGCTTACTGGACAAATTAGCTACCTACTTTTCATCTAAGTCATTAGACAATATAAAAATCCTTGCAAAATTGTTACTGGTGATACCATCTTACCATATATATTGTTTTATTCCCCCCCCCAGATCCTTATTCCTTTCATCGTAGTTATGTGTGCTTTTGAAGCTGTTCAAGATTGCACGCGACTTTCCTCTAAGAGGTAATGTAACGAACACCACTACATCTGCACGAGTACACTTTTACATATCGGGCTATGCAAAGCAATACATCTTTGCAATTGCAGTGTATACCTGAGAGCCGTCACTTTTAATAAACATAGCCACAGGGAAGACACCGAAATTAAACCTTTTTTTATTTTACCAGGTAAGGCCCACTGAGCTATGTAGCTATTTTACTGGTAGGAACAAAGTTGTAAACTGAGTGTACCAGCCTGCAATAGATTAATGTGTCCGTCCGTCCGTCCCCTTTCAATACTTTAACGAAGTGAAATATCGTGCTGTTGGGTGTAAAATCAGCTATAGACAGCGCAGAGACTTGATATGTCTTATAAAATTGCGCAAAATTCCAATGTTCCTACTAGCCCACCATGCAGGGACCTGTTTCAGACGAAAAGTTGCTTATTATGCGGAATTTGATAGCAGCCAAATACTCTACACGCATGTTTCTAAATGTGGAGAGGAAAGCCGGAGGATCCGGATAAAAATCCACGTGACCACCGGCAGAACATGTAAAAAGCAATGAGATGGCCCGTCAATGATCCCAAGGTCATGTTTCTTGTTTTTTTTACACTACAATAGTTAAATAAAATGATAGGGGTGATGTAATTAGGTGGGAGTTGTTTTGTGACCATATTTTTATTCTGCCCAATTCCAGCCTTTTCCTGATTGTGCTCATCTTGTCTGATATTATGGCTGTGGTGAGTACCAAGGCAAGAACATAGTGCCATCATACTGTTATGATTAATCATTCGTCACAACTTAAAACACCCCTTAAGACTAGCGGCATATGTTTAATATAAACTGTGTGCATGTATAAATACTAGCCAGAATGTATTATGTTGTAAAGCCATAAAGCATTAACATTCACTAGAAAGGCACAATATATAGTATTCGGTGTCTCAATGCATTCAAATATATCTTAAATCCATCCATTGTATTGTCCTAACCAAATCCTGATATTTTTTCCAGCATTTTTTCTTTTTGGTCCAAGACTATGGAAGCTGGCTCGACATTGGAACAAGGTTTTTATTTAATGTTTTTTTAATCTCAGCAGCCTCTTGCGATCACATTACTCTTCTACACCCACCACTGTTCAATATAACATTGAGCATTGTAACCCACTTTCAGCAACAATTTCGTTTGTAAATGGCAATGTACACCTTTTGTGTGTAATTTTCTTACCCCTTGGAATTTATTTTCTTTCTCTGCAGCATCAGCCACTTTGTGATTGTGATGTTAACAACGATCTTCCTCATGCTGCTGAATGGCCTTGCTCACATCCTGACGAGAAAATGCATCGCATTTCACAACCACCACGTCAAGATTCTCTAGCCATGAGTGGGCTCCAGGTTTTAAGGGTTCATTTCGTGATGGGTTTAACTGAAAAATAACAAGAGTGTTTACTGCAAATGGTTTAGTCAGTAATGTGCACGACTTGGAAGTCTAACATTGTCATAACGCCCTCGTATATAAACTAAGCACGTGAAGCTATTTCACCTTTACAGAACTCCGCTCACTTTGACCAGTTGTAAAAGCCTGTTGGAATAATGTATCGCCCCAATAATTGACGATTAAGATTGAACATTTTGCTGAGTAAATATTTTTGGTTACCGACCTATGTTCACTGTTATCATGGTGCAATGATTTTTGTAATTGCATCGCCAATGTGCTGTAAACATTTGTATTTATACAATTCTAAATGGGCACCTACTTATTTAAATAAGCGGACTTACAATGAAGCATTTTGTACTCTGGCCTAAAATAAATGAATACAATTGGTCCAAATCATTTTTGATATGCATTAGTACTCAGTATCTGCATCTTTATTGAATTCGACGTTGGATGCACTGGGCAGTTTCTTTAAGATTTAGAGTATCATGTTACGTCGCCAACAATTTGTATATGGAAACGTACATATGCACGGCCACTTAAAAGTCTTCAATAATCGTCATGGGGAAAAAAAAAAACTGTACCTGAAAAGGAGGAACGTTTGTGGACACAAGCTTTCACGATTACCGTATTTTCCCGCATATAGCCCGCATACACATATAACCTGCAGACGCATATACCCTGCAAAAATAGCGTTTTGTGTAAAACATATTTCAGATACCCCGCACCTCCGTATACCCCGCATGCATTCATATCTTTAACGTCGTTACCGCAGCTTAATTCCATATTAATACGAAGTTTACATTTGTAATACATTCCACTATCAATTGTTCACATTAAAATCATTACGTGCACAAAGAAAATAAACTAACCGGAAACGAGTGAACTTAAAACAGTAAATAAGCAACACAAGTAAATATCCAATAAGTAACACATAACTGGTAGATAAGTAAAGTTTTAGCACTGGTAGATTGCGCACTGCGCAGACAATAGTGGCACTATGGTAATGCCATTGCCTCGCCCCTAACCCCCCCACCTCTCTCTCTCCCCCCCCAGCTCTCCCGTCGCCGGTAAACAAAGTGCGCCCAATTCAAACAGTCGTTTCATTGTACAAACAATTCGAATCATTTAAAACGTGATAACATGTGCAATTTTAGTGTGAGTGGTTTATTCAGCAGTGCTTTAGTCAAAGGTAAGTGTTGCATAGTGGATAGTCCTACCATTACAAAATTTAACTAGTTATGACATATTCTTGGTTGTTTCGGTAAAGTCACGTAGAAGGGAAACAATAAAGTAAAAATATAAACAATAAAATTATCACGACGTTTCGACTGCAACACAAGCAATCATCAGGTGTGAAAACCACAGCAAGAAAATTTGACATTGACTTCTCCAAGACAGGTTCTCTGCAAGCCATCTGGCTACCATGAGAGATTCGTTCTTGAGGCTATCCACATAAATAAACACAGAGACAATTTCAACCGAGAAGATGGATTTTGGCTTAGCAATCATTGGAAGGATTTGATAAACCATTTCGGGTCTTAATTGATTGTTCATGCTTACAGTGGCTTTCAGACCGCATCCATTATTTTCGTCTCCCCCCTCCTCTTTTCCGAGCATAGATGGACTCGTCCATCTGAATAACTGCCAAATCGCTCTCCGTGGTGCTAACGTAAAAAAACGCCAATTTTTTAAAATTTTCTTGCTGTGGTTTTCACACCTGATGATGATTGCTTGTGTTGCAGTCGAAACGTCGTGAGAATGTTATTTTATATTTTTATTATTTTATTGTTTCCCTTCTACGTGACTTTACCGAAATAACCAAGAATATGAATCCCTGCAGTCACGAAAGCTTTAAATAAAAATTTAGTTATGACATGTCAAACGTGTAAAATATTTCTGGAATAGCCCGCACCTCCATATACCCCGCAGGGTCTTGTTGGTAAAAAATGGTATACCCCGTGGGTTTTATGCGAGAAAATAGGTACTTCGTTCTGATACTGGCTGGCACGCGATGCGACAGGGTCCCGCCGCACGAGCGCTTTCCATCACGCAGCCAGCGTCCTTTAAAGATGCACCTCCAGTGACCGCGGTCCCCCCTTTGAGCACACGTTGACCCAAAACCTGGCCGGCAAACAGGCATTCACCTACCAGTAGGGGGCGAAGATTGCGATGTGTAAGCGCAAGTGAGTTTGCAGGCAATTTCGAATTTGCACCCTTGACACTGGCGCTTCCTCGTCTTGCAATTTATGTCATGGGATCTTTCGGGTCCACTGGGAAGCGCTGTTGCTGTATTGTGGTGATTACTCCTGGAGTTAAAACTCGGTACAAACCTTGCACCCAAACAAGTGGCGAACGCGCTACTGCCAGGACATGTCACCCTGTTGTATATATTGTCTTGAAAAATAAAAGGTGTAAATTTTTATTGCAATTATGCGAATTTATGTAATTATGCAAATGCATGAAATGGTGCTAATTAGGCTCGGCTTCGTTGTCTCGGGTGTATTACCAATTGTGACAATACAATGATTCTCGCTTTAACTTTTACTCATTGTTTCAGTGTATTTATGTCAGGTCTCAAAATCACCGCAGGATACAGTTCTTATAATTCAGAAAATTATGCATGAACTTAGGAAGGCACCACTCGGACTCTTCTGTGTTAAGCAACTTTAATATCTAAAACTCTAATATGCGAACACTTATGCTCGGAATTGTCAACACAGTCCTCCGGGAGATGTCCTCAATGATCCGTACAATTAACCCTCAATAGTAACAGAACAATCGGATAATTTCTCAAGAGTAGGACGACCATGCACGGCGATAGGAAAAGTCCTTAAAAAATAATGACTATTCATACGAACAGTGATAAAGAAACATGTGCCCAAGGCAAAAGTAGACGTCAATGAATTCATTGGTAAGATTATGTAATTAAGATATGTCGTGCAACAATAATAGTATATGTGCGAGTGTATGTTTAGCTAACAGACGCTTATCAATTGACTAATGGGGCTTTAATGAGAACAATCGGCTACCCCAAGAGTTAGCGCGACCCTACACGACGATAGGATACTTATAAATGTCTCGTGTGTCATCAATGAGTTCATTGGGAAGATTATGCAATTAACGAATTGTCCTGGAACAATAGTGTGCAGCAAGTGTGCCTGTTTGCCTAACAGATGCTTATCAATTGGCTAATGGGACATCAATGAATTCGCGGGCAAGATGTGATCAAAAGAAAACTCTCAACACAATAGTATTCCTGTGTGTGGATTCGTAACATAGATGCTTATAAATGTTTAATGTATCATCAATGTATTAATTGGTAAGGTAATGCAATTAACGAAAATTACTAAAATATGCTTAACTAAGATTTGTGCTATACCATAGTTACCAAGGGTATTCCAAGGGTTTTATTAACCTTTGTTCCCCGTCTGTATCGCCAGGGATCCGTGCTTCTTATTCTCAAGTTATATTTTGATGTCCTGAGGTTGAAGATATAGCTACTTCGAATTTTACTGTTGTATTTTAAAACCCCAGCCCGCAGTGCCTAACCTGGCTGGCTCTCACTGTTCGGGGATATCCGTGACCCCTGCTGTTTGTCCGGTGTATGTTATTCTTTTATGGCATTTTCCTCTTGATGTTAGATTTGGAATTTACCGCAGAACCTCCTTAGCCCCCCTGCTCCGGGGTTTTTTAAATTACATTTTATGACCTCCCCAGCTGTCCCTTGTGTGGCGAGGCAGGAGGCAGCGGGGTGTGAGGGTGACACCCCCCTCCGCGCCCCAGCGCTACACCATGAACAAAATTATTAAAATAAAAAGGCAGAATCATTAATATCATTTTTTGGAAAAGGCATATATATACAAAATACCCCTCCCACCCCGAGTTCAATGTAGATGAATGTGTAATGTTATAGCCATTTGGTGTATTGAAAACATTATTTGCATGAACTTCCCAAGTGTATAATTGAGCAATCTTATAAAGAATTCAAAATCATCAAGATCCAAAGCATGAACACAGCTCTTACGGATCCCCTTACACATTAGGAAGTAATACAACATTCAATCCGTAATCCATTACACTTTATTGAATATTTGCATGGTACTGTTAACAATGTTAACATGCAAAATAAATCAAGGTCTATACATTTGCACAACACTAAAGTGAATGCATTTAAGTGAATTTAAATGGGAATTAACATTTTCATCAGCGTGTGTTCGTGAACTTATAATTTCCATGACCGTCCGATTAAAGTAACATCCACGTTGTAATTTAGTACTGCAATTACACAAGCAAACAGCTGCCTATGTCAATGTAACACACCGCATGCCCATCTTGCTGCATCTCAACTTTAAGACATACAATCCAACCCTTTCCCGATCTTCAGTCCAAGCGGAGACTTTAACTTGTGCATGCAAACGTGCACAGGCAATAACTACTGTATAAACCAATACATGACTCAATAGAATAAAACCCCGAGGTTTTGTGTACTTAGGACAGCGGGCAGCCAATGCCTTGCGAGTATTCATCACCATGTGGGGTGTTATTACTCTTAAAAGTACTTACCTGGATTTTACTTGTTTGGCTTCAGAGGGGAGATGTAATCAGGATAATTAAGGGTTGGTGAGGTCATAAGCGAGGTCATAAGCGCCATGTAGGTTTTTGTTAAGTGGCAGAAGTGGCACGCTGATGTCTCTCACCAACATTCTGTTACAATGCTTTCTGCTGGTATAGCATAATACGTTTGACTGATAAACTGGAATCTAGTCCATTTCAAGATATTTACCATTGTTCCGGCAGAATAATTTTTCACCATTAAAATAATCGACACTCGCATGACATGGCTACATGCCCCTACCGTACAGCCCTATGGGTAAACGTATGCATCGACTTAAGCACAGTGCAACTGAACAAAATGTAGATTACTCTTTCCCTAACGCGAAATGAGTACCAGTGGTGCGCCAAAGCAGTGCACCTCACTTCGAAGCGGTCCATTTTTACAAATCATGAATTCCTTCCATCAGCTTAGCTGCAACAGAAACAAAACTGCAACCTGAACATTTACGTTAGTTTGATGTGGAACGTGATTTTACTCTCGGAATTTCTCATCCATGCTTTTAACCTCTCCATAAACTGAAATGACACTGGAAAGAGTTGTGTTCATATTGTAACACTAAGTGAGAATTAAACCGCACAAGTGTTGGAAGTTTTAAAGATATCTAAGTTACACATTTTTTCAAAGATACTCAAACATTTGTAGATATATGACAAGACAAACAAACGTAATTATGCCCAACAAGAAAACTTCGTTAAATCACGATCACAACTTGTTGCAAGAGAAATATAGAATTCCTCTGTACACAATTTACCAATGGGATTAGTTACAAAATAAAAATTTGCACAAGAAAAAGACATTGGGTCCATACCAACACTGAGTAGATATTTGAATTGGCTATAACATAATTTGTAAGTAAAACAAAAAAAACTACTCCCTTCCAAAGTAGTAGCCCATGTCCAACAATTAGATCCCACACCTGTTTCAAAACACTCGTATAACATAATCTTTCAACAAGTGAACTCTCATCCAACATGCCAATGATTCTAAATGCAGCCATCAACTCAAGCACAACACGGACATCTGACAGTTTTCAATGCAAATCAGTTGGAAAGTCAACTCTGGTAGGACAAAAAATTTCAACCCTTATCACAAATGGCCCCGGTATCCACGGTTAACATTCAACA